GTTCAAGGATTACTCTGTGATCATATGGCCAGCATGATGGCACAGAAAGCCGTTTACCTTCCTACCAAAGTGGTACCTATTTATCTACTTGCATTTGCATGCTTTAAACTGCTAGGTTGGCAGAAGCAGGGAATAGTGGCAGGAGCTCACGCCATCATGCAGCACCCGAACCTTGAACTGCCAACCTGCTGATCTTGCAATCTACAGAGTCAGCATCTTAACCACTTGAGCTACTGCACCCCCTAAAAGGACAAATTATATTATATTCCAAGGATAAATTAGACCCTTTCATATAACCAGTTGTGACCAGGCTGGACTTCTATAGCCAGCAATGGCACATCCAGTTATCTACTTAAGAGACAAATGCAAACCAGCTCCAACTACCAAATATATCAGTTCAAAGTCCACATATATACAAGACTAGAACTGCTCCAAGCATAAAATTCAGGGTCAATGGTCTTCTCAACCTCCAGTACAGAGAAGAGTCATCCAAAAGTGAATGCATCTTTCAAATTACAAATTAACTCATGTTGTTTTCAAAAGAGTAAAAAACTAAGGGGAGGTTCATGAGCTTACCTCCACTAAGTAATGTTTTACATGTAGGAAATAATTAAGTCTGCTCTTTTTAAATAAACAAAAAACCTGTTTCAACTGAAAAGAGAGCTTGTAATTTAAAACAACAATAATACAACCCCAAACAGGAAAATAATTCTACGTCTGCATGTGTATAAAGGAGGTACGCACAATTTAGAATGATTCTCATCTTGAAGAAGGTGGGAAAACCAGGCCAAATAAAACAGGTTTTTCTGGCTAACAAGTCATTAGCATGCTTTTAAAATGATGGCATCCTTTCAAAATTAGTTCTTCATATCCAGAATAACTTCACAGTTAACAATGCTTAAAAAAACAAGGGATGAAAAGTATTTATTCTGAGCATATGTAGTAGAGGTGTTGTGGCTAGATAATCAGTATTTTAGATAAGCATGGGAAAATGTCAATGGTTCAAAACACAGTGCAGAAATAATCCACTTTGAGACCACTTTAACTGCCCTGGCTCAGTGCCAGGGAATTCTGGGAACTGTAGTTGTGAGACATTTAGCCTTTTCTGTCTGAGAGTTCTGGTGCAACAATAAGCTACAATGCCCAGGATTCCCTAGCACTGAGCCACGGCAGTTAAAGCGGCCTCAAACTGGATTACTTCTGCAGTGTGTTTTGGACCAATGACAGTCCATTTGCTAATTATGGAGTTCCATTTCAGCCAAAGAGCAGAGACAGCAGTTATCCACAACACTGAAGAACAATATGCAAAGAGATCTTGTAGCACCTTTGAGACTAATTATGTGAAAGCAGTGGTAGCACAAGCTTTTGCAGACTAGCTCTAACTCTAACTTTTTATAGACTAGCTTTAACTGCCCTGGCTCAGTGTTAGGGAATCCTGGGAATTCTAGAATTCTAATTCTGTGAGCTGCCTTGGGTCCCTGCGTGGAGAAAGGCAGCATATAAATGAAAATAACAACAATAATCCTCAGATGCATCAAGCTTCTGCTACAACTTCTTTCACACTGGGGGGATGCAGATGGCAAAAAACGCTGTCCTCAATCCCAGGAAAGGAAGGGGCAGCTGGATGCTGGGCGCCCCATCCCCTTCCTGAGGACATCATCGAAGCGACAGTCCGTCTGCACAACAGGTGCTCCAATGACATCCTTTCGGCTCAGCGTCTGGACATGCTAAGCCAGAAGAGACGCCAAAGAGGTGCGCCATGCCTCTTGCAGCGCCCTTCTTCGCGGCTTGCGGAAGGAGCGCTATTTTAGCGCTCCTTTCGCAAGTGGCGAAAGGGAGGATCGGGGCCGAGGTGTCTGGCAGCCTCGGCCTCGATCCTCCGCTTCTGGGGGTGGCCCAGGGCTGCCCATCTGCATCCACCCTCAGTTAGTCTCAAAGGTGCTACAAGCTCCCTTTGCATACTGATATTCCAGACTAACATGGCTATATCTCTGAAATCTATCTCCACTGAAGCACAAGAGTGCCTTCAAACTGGAACTCAATTGCAGTGCTGGGTATGAATGATATTGGGTAGTTCAAAGCTATTCAGGAGTACAGAAACACATCAACCTCAGGTCCTTATTCAGTGAATGGGGTGTGTTTCAAAGTTTCACACAAATAAGAAACTGGCAACCAGAACCAACATCAGCATCACAAATAACATCAATGCTGTGACTAAGTTTTAGATGCTGTTCCATCCCATGGGTGGTTGTAGTTGAAGAGATAACCAACCAGGCAGGAGAAAGAAAGGCAATCACTACAGTGGTTAAGTGCTGTATACGTTCATGGGAAAAGCCAGATTCAAAATCTCTCAGAACGAAACCACACCAGGTGGCCTACAAGCAAGCCGCTATTTCTCTGAGTAAGCACTTTCACAGATTGTTGAGAAACAGAACCTCTGTCAAAACCATCAGAGTAAAGGTAGAGGAACAAGATTGCCAGGATAGTTTAGAGAATTTTAAAATATCCCAAATTACATAAATTTCAAATTTTGGTTTGACGTTGTTTTCAAGCCAGTAGTATTCAGTCAGTGGTGGGCAATAAGTGGCCTGCCACATTCTTCTTCACACTTTGGATCTACTCCTGGACTCATCATCCCACTGACCCCAGAAAAAAAAACTATAGAACAGGGGTAGGCAACCTTTCCCCTTTAAGGGCCGAGGGACTTCAGCTCCCAGAAACCTCAGCCATGTTGGCCAATAGTCCCATGTTGGCCAATAGCTCCTGGGATTCTGAGAGCTGAAGTCCCTCAGCCCTTAAAGGGGAAAGGTTGCCTACCCCTGCTATAGAACAAGACAACACTAACAAAAGTTAGAAGTCACTGAAGGCAGTGCTATATATGCCACTTTCTAGGCAAGCCAGTATTCACCAAGTAGAAGAGAAAGAAGAGAAAGAAGTCCATTAATATTTTAATCTCTAAGGCAGTGATGGTGAATCTTTTAGAGACTGTGTGCCCAAACTTAAAGGTGCTCCGGCATTGAGTGTTATCCAGTGTTCAAAGCTGGGTGTTAGCCAGTGCCAGGGGCATGGGGCTTCTGCCTTCCGGGGACAGACCTCTTCTTTCCTCTGCCTGGGCCCTTAGCTGCCTCTCCAGAGACAGCTGAAAGCCTGGAATATCAGGGAATAGAAGGAACAGGCACATGCCTGTTCCTCCTCTTTCCCCCTGCTCTCCCAGGCCTTCAGTCCAATGGAGATGGAGAGAAAAAGCACCTGTTCCTCCTCTTCCTCCCACCCTCCCGGGCCTTCAGCTGTTTCTGGGGAGGCA